CGGCAGTATCCCTATAGTATGCTCTTTTAAGATCCTCAGGGAATAGTCCGAGAAGGGCGATAGCTGGGTCAAATGGTGGATCCATTCCCAGCTTTCCCAGGAATCTCCATACTGCTTTCCAAATTGGCCTCACCAATTTGCAGTCCTACCATATGCTCGGAATTTTTAATTCCCAAACTGTCCAGCTTATCTCGTAACAGTGACACAACTGCTAAAAATTTGTCTAGGGCTATTAGGACAATTAGGTGCAAGGTCATGCTCTTACATAGTGGTTGAAGTGCCACAGTGAACACCATGATTTTATGATATATAAAAACTTACCTGGTAGTAATGTCATTTACAGCGATGTTGATTTTAGTGGACTCTCCCAGTAGGGAGAGACTTGTGGACACAGGAACAGGGTATATTGGCAAATAAGAATCATTAGGGGGTTGGGGTTGTGGCTCAGTGGTAGTGTACTTACCTGGCATGTGTGAGACACTGGGTTCGATTCTCAGCACCACATAAAAATAAATAAAATAAAGGTCTATCAACAACTAAAATAAAAACAATCATTAGGGGCATTTTCAGGTGTAAGATGATTATATATGGGGGTGATAAGAATTAAAAAGATAAATAAATCTCCTTGTCAGAGAAGCAAATATAGTTAACAACTAGAAAAGCCAAACAGAGAGTGGTGATAACTTTGAAACAACCAGGTCTTGTACTTGGAGGAATTTACCCAGAGATGTGAAAAGTGAAGAGGCACCTTTTGAGAGGGTAGAGTATGGATGGATGGTGGTGAAGAGATGAGGGTCTTCCCCTTCTGACAATTTCTCTTTCCAGAAAAGCACCCTCAGATTCCAACATAAGATGTATTTTCTTAAACATCTGTATTTTCATTCAACAGTGTTATGGTTTGGATATGCAGTGTCCCCAAAAAGCCCATGTGTGAGACAATGCAAGAAGGTTCAGAGGAGAAATGATTGGGTTGGGAGAGCCTTAACCCTATCAGTAAATTAATCCCCTGATGGTATTAGCCGAGGGGTAACTGAAGGTGGGCAGGGTGTGGCTGGAGGAGGTGGGACATTGGAGGCTTGGCTTTGGGATATATATTTTGTATCTGGAGAGTGGAGCCTCCTCCGCTTACTAATCATGATGTGAGCTGCTTCTGTCTGCCACACTCTTCTGCCATGATGTTCTGCTGCACCTTGAGCCCCAAGGAATTGAGCCTGCTGACTGCGGATTGAGACTTCTGAAACTGTGAGCCCTCAAATAAACTCTTCCTCGTCTACAATTGTTCTGGTCAGGTCTAAGCAGTGAAAAAGCTGACAAAAACAAACAGGATGGCAATTTACCCTAGTATTTGTTCCTTTCATTCTTTCCTTCTTTTTTTTTTTGGTACTGGAGATTGAACCCAGGGGTACTTAACCACTGAGCTACATCCCCAGCCATTTTATACATATATTTAGAGACAGGGTTATGTGTGTGTGTGTATGTATGTATATGTGTGTGTGTATATATATATATATATATATATATATATGTGTGTGTGTGTGTGTGTGTATATATATATATAGAGACAGAGACAGAGACAGACAGACACAGGGTCTTGCTGAGTTGCTAAGTGCCTTGCTAAGTTGCTGAGGCTGGCTTTGAACTCGTGATCCTCCTGCCTCAGCCTCCTGAGCTGCTGGGATTACAGGTGTGCACCACCGCACCTGGCCTGCTTTGCTAATTATTTGTGATACTTTGTACATGACTCCTGATAGTCTTTACTGACAAAGGAATGTGTTTACGCTTATAACATCATTTGGCACCTTATTTCCTTTCAACCTTATTTCCTTTTTTAACCACATCATGAAGAACAAGTGTTTCTCAGAGCTAAACAGCAGGACTGTTAAGAAACCTCTAGGAATGTATCTAAATGTTTAGCACTACAGTACTGAAATTCTGAATAACAGGAAAGTAGAGGAAAGAAAACTGTGTGTCATACATTCTAAAGGCAGGCCATTTCTGTACATCCTGTGTACCCCACAGCTTCCCTCATTGCCTTGACCAATCTCAGAGGACTTCATAAGCACATCCTAGAATCAGATCATAGAAAAGGCCCCAGATGAATTGTAATGCATTCTGCTGTCATATATAACAAATTAGAGTGTGAAAAAAAGACCCCAGTTAAACCTATTTCATTTAACCAGCCAAGTGCAAGTAAAATCCATCACATAGTTTGAAAAATGTTTTAACTCCAATTTACACTGTTAATAGATATAGTGGTTATTTTCAAATTTCAAATATTACAGAATAACACAATACCTTTTTTTTTTTTTAATGTGATGCTGGGTATCGAACCCAGTGCTTCATGCATGCTAGGCAAGTGCTCTACCACTGAGTCCAAAATCATGGCATTTGCAGGTTGGAGAATATAATCTAAGTGAAGTTAGCCAATCCCAAAAAACCAAATGCTGAATGTTTTCTTTGTTATAAGAATGCTGATTCATAATGGGGATGGAGGGGAGGAGCATGGGAGGAATGGAGGAACTTAGAGCAAAGAGGAGGGAGGGGAAAGGAGGGGGCATGGGGGTAGGAAATAAGGTGGAATGAGATGGCCATCATTACCCTAAGTACATGCATGAAGACACGAATGGCGTGAATATTCTTTGTGTACAACCAGAGATACGAAAAATTGTGCTCTCTCTATATAATATGAATTCAATGTATTCTGCTGTCAAATTAGAATTAAAAAGGGTAAAAAAAAATATTACAGAAGGGCATGATGTTTTTATGTCTGCAGGAGAAGACTTGGGTTTAAAAATTTGGGAAATCCCACTCTAGAACATACTAGAAGACATTCCAGTGATGGGAAGTTACCCAGATGAAAGACCAAAGCAAACGCTGGATGTGCCTGAAGGCCTGAGAGCTCAAGTTGAAGAATTCTGTGGACTACAGAGGGGGTCAAGAGGTGGACTGATAGGCAAAACTAGAAGAAAGATCATTTTTAAAGTCTGGACAAAAAAAATCACAGGATAGGTAATATGCAAGACAGCCTCTGGTTTAAAATTTTACACACAGGATAGGGAAGAAAAGGTGTGGTTATCACTCCAATCTCAGGTCACTTGACAGCCCCATTCTAACTTGTAGAGCATCATCCCTGGAGCCTTGGTCAGGGTCCCTCTGTTTCCAAAAAACACATTGCCTGCCATAGGCCACACTACTGGGAAGCAGCAGCAGTGAGCCTGGCTTGGGTCCTCACTGGAGTGAACACAGGTGCTGAATAATTAAGGCTACTTGGTTTGTCACTTGTATTCTCCAAGAGGAACTTGCCATGTAAGCTGGGCCATCTAAAGGCAGGGGGAACACAACAGGTGTATCACAGAGGCAGCTTATGTTCCTAATGGTTAAAGAGCAGCCAGAGTTGCCAGAGACACACACAAACTTAGACAGGAAGAGGCATTTGGAAGGCACTTTCCAGCACACTCGCATAACCCATTAAAACCTCAGCAACAGTGAGCACAAATAAAACTCACTGATTTAATTTTCTTCTGGGTCCCCTGGAGTCTCCTTTAAAGGATATTGCCCTTTGCTGCTAGGTATCTAGCAAGAGAATCAGGGCATATTTTAAAATTCAAGTAATTGAACATATAAAACCACAGAACTTACTAAAATGGCCCTTTTTCACCTTTAACAAATATATGCACTCATGTGATATGGTGAAAGCAAGAGAAATCAAATCTGAGGCTTTGGCATTAATTGTTGCAGTTATTCAACTTTATTATATTTTAAGATCTAAAAACAGTGAAACATAGTATTTTTCAAACACCTGAGGTTAAAGCACCTGGGCACAGCATCTTCATACAAACAATTTGACAGAAGACCAAGTTTAAGTTACAATTTTGCTTCATACCACATATGGAATAATACAGATAAAGCCATCCTTTAAATTATATGTGCCCAATAAATAGTTACACTTGTGTATACAGCTGGTTGTCTAAACAAAGTGTATATTCGTGCCCCTGGTGAACAACTACTTTTTTATTTTTATTTTTGTAGCATTGGAGGTTGAACTCAGGGGTGGCCCCCAACCCTTTTTATGTTTTTATTTTAAGAGAGGGTCTCACTAAGAGACTGAGATTGTCATCAAAGTTGTAATCCTCCACTCTCAGCCTCCAAATAACTTGGACTATAGGCATGCGCCACCATGCCCAGAATATTAACATTTATAACAAGTGGCCAAAACAATTATTAGCACCAATTCTCATAGCTTAAAAATATTATACCAAAGTTAAACAATTTAACAATAAAGAGAATAATGATGATGAACATATTTCTCTTAAAAGTTTTTAAAATTAAGCCCAAACCAATAAGTTGGAACTAATGTTATCATTCAAAGTTTAGCAGGATAAATGGCTCAGAACCAGGTAAAATAATTAGAAATACTACACAAGACAGAGAACTTCCCTAAATGGGAATCAACCCAAGGATTGTTTTTTTGATTGTGAATGTGATTCCCTGAAGAATAAGCTGAGAGGTACTAGTGATAGCAAATATGGCATATATAACAGAATAAAAACATCTCAATACTGGATCATTATTTCTTCTGAAACAGTACAAAATGCCATTTTAAATTTAAAAAGATTTACTTGTGTATATACTTCACATATAGAATAAAAGAAAAGTATGAAATAGCACTCATATGTCACAAAAATAAGATTCTTTTAAACACTTGGATATAGGTATCTTCATAGAGAGATGTGGACAATTAATTCCTATTTATATGTATAACCTTAGTCAAAACGTGTAAGCTTTAAAATAACAGGTATTTCAACAAATAAAATAGTGACTCCACCTACACTACTCCAGCAGTAAATATCTCTTGCATAAAATGACCATTCTATCAATCCTATAACTTATCCCAAAACTGGTACAAATATTTCAAGAAGTCTATAAACTCGTTTTTTTCCCCTCTAAATCTAACAAGTGCAATATGTAAAGATAAAAACAGAGAGTAAAATACTTTATATAGCTATTTCTTTTCTGGAAACTGGTAAAACATATCAGACAAAATAATTGATAAAGAGAAGATGCCTATAGATTCTCTTTTAAGGAAAAATTCTCTTTTAAGGAAAAATTCCCCCATATGGATTTCATTCTAGAGGTTGTATTTCCTCTTAAGCTGTTGTGGCTCTAAATAGAAAGATGCACATAAATCAAAGGGTTTTTTTTGCCATTTCCTACATGAAGTACATTTGTAAACTATATGATGAAAAATAACAAAAAGGCATAAAGAATGAACTTTCAATTTGAATGTGCTAATACTAAAATGTTAAATGGTTTTTAAATAAGTAGACTTGACTTATCATTGACTTCTCATTTTACAATTGTGGAGATAACATTTTTTAGAGGAACCTTCTACAAAACAGAAACTACTAAGGACAGAATAATGACTTTAAGAAGGAACTGGTAAACCTAATCTAAACTTCTGCAAACACTCAATTGTTGAGGCCTTTTTCTTCTTTAAGCTTTTCGATGTAGTGGCACAGTTTCAAGACGGTTCCGAGCTTCAACCCCATATACTTGATCATGTTGTCACTGGTCAGCAACAGCAAGGCCTTCCCATCAATTTCCTACAGAGAGAAAAAAATGATAAAATTAATTTTTTCATATTTTGTTGTTATTTATACATAAGAACATGTAAAACAGAGACCAGCTGTACGTTCCAGATATATATTCTCTGAATATGCATTTCCTGAAAACTATTAAAAATAGAATTTGTACAGTGAAACGTTATTTGATGATTTGTAAATTTACTTCAAATTTTAAGAAAAAAGAAATTTACCTTAGTATCTTTGGTTAGTGTCCTAAACATCAAACTATCTGATTTTAAATACTGTGCTGAGTAAAATACGACTATGACAAAGGGTCAAAAATTATAAATGGTAATTTCAGACAGTCATTAACTTTCTGAGAAGAGCTAGGAATATGTCAACATCAATGCAAACTGTAAATGTGCCATACATTATTATCTTTAGGTCGAATGCTAACCACTTAGTTGTCTAAAGTTAAGTTAGATGCCCAAACTAATTACCAATTTTCCTATAATATTAAAAAGACTATACCAGATTATTAGAGTACTAATTTTATTTGGAAGAAAAAACTATAAAAATATTACTTAATAGTCACAAGGCATCCTTCTAAAATTATTACCTTAATTAACCAATTTATGCTATGGAAGTATATTATTTGGCAGTCATGAGATCCTGTTTAAAATAAAGGCATACTTAATCTTATATAGTTGCTGGATTTATTGGGTATCATAGTAAGAAGGCCACCCGGTTACAGATTGTAGTCACCCCCTCCTACTCATGGTCCTAGGGCTGAGCAGGGGGTGGGGAGGATCCTTGTATACCACAAAAAGGGCGGTCCACCTGAAAGTGGCAAAGCGGAATCATCCTCTTGAGAATGTGAGGCTGTTTAGAATATTAGGCACTTGGATACCCATTTAAAGAAAGACAATTAACCTACCATTTAAGGATCTAATGTTGGGCAAAATAACCTTTCTCTTAAATGGCAAATTCAGTTGATAGGGTTCCCCCACCATCCACACAACTCAGTATCTAACTGAAAGGCCTGCCTGGAGATCAAAAGATACATTACAGGCTAGTTGTAGTGGCGAGCCCCTATAATCCCAGTGGCTGGGCTTGGGAGCCTGAGGCAAGAGGATGGAGAGTTCAAAGCCAGCCTCAGCAATAGCAAGGTGTTAAGCAACTGAGTGAGACCCTGTCTCTAAATAAAATACAAAATAGGACTGGGGATGTGGCTCAGTGGTTGAGTGCCCCTGAGTTCAATCCCCAGTAACCCTCCCCCCGAAAAGATACATTACATGTTGCTCAATGAGGCCAGAGAGGGAGCCTGACATCTGAGGATCCATATGGTTCAGAAACAGGATCACATCATCCACAGACCAGGTTAAAGGATCCTCCGGGTAGTCTTGGTTTATCACAATGGATTCAGATTGAACTGGTGAACTTGTAGCTTCACAATGAGGGGGAAAAAAAACACAAATCACTTGACCTGATCATTATCCTGAAAGAGATGTTAGGTTGGGAGTAATGGTCTAATTTCTGGAACCTTCACTTACATACCCAAGCAAGGACTCAAGACTCCAACTGTAAAATTAGTAAAAGCCTACATTAAAGATGATCAAAACAGCTGCATAAGAGCATCCAATCTGACCTCCCCCAAACGATAGCAGCTTCAGAAGCTCCCTTAAAGCTTCAAAAATCAATAAAACAGACCAAACAATCCAAGGCCTCTTTGGCCATGCAGCAAAAGATCTATTACTTGGATTACATTAGATTAATCTAACCTAATCCATTACACTATTTCAATGAATTTTTCTCAATCTCTCTTTTTAATCTAAATTAGTTTTATTTTACTAGCTAAATACAATGGAAACTCCCCAAATTTACAAGTTTATAATTGTTTAAACTTATTCACTTTAATCAGTGTTTCAACAACCCCATTATCTTGGAGNTTCACTTTAATCAGTGTTTCAACAACCCCATTATCTTGGAGGACCAAATTAGTTCTTTCACCAAATCTCTCCCATAGTTTCAATATGGATATTTTTAGCATCACTTTAATTCTTTATGGATTCCTGTCTCTTGTGGTTTAAACGTTAATTTGATTTTTTTTTTTTTTTTTTTTTTTTTTTTTGGTGCTGGGGATTGAATCCAGGGCTTATGCATGTGAGGCAAGCACTCTACCAACTGAGCTATACCCCCAGCCCTTAATCTGAATTTTAACAGGATTATTTTCTGCTGAGCTAAGTCAGAAGTAACTTTAACATTTTATTTGATTCTTCTTTCATGTTTAATTGCATAGCAATAGATGTTTTAGTTGAAGGTTTACTTGTTTAATAAAGAAATAACTGAGACATGAAGCAATTTAGGTACTCACACCTCAGCATGTTTTAGCTGTGCTGTTCACTAAATTGTGTTGACATTTCTTTGTGTCCTGACAAGTATTCATTCACTCAAGCAAAGCACTCGACTCCCTAAAGAGTGTGTGTGATAAGTGAAGAGGGTTTTGTCATTTGCAAGAGCCTCGAGGACTCAAAACAAATTTGATCTTCTGGGGTGTGGATTAGCCAAAGGCATGTCCTTTCTTTCCTATCATCTGCTCTCTGGTCATTCTAGGAGTATTTTGAGTTATTCATCCAGGGAAAGGGATAAAAATAACAATATTAAAAACTTCACAATGGGCTGAGTGTGGTGGCCCACGCCTGTAATCCCAGCAGCTCAGGAGGCTGAGGCAGGAAAATCGTGGAGTTCAAAGCCAGCATTAGCAAAATAAAGTGAGGCACTAAGCAACTCAGTGAGACTGTCTGTAAATAAAATACAAAATAGGGCTGGGGATGTGGCTCAGTGGTCAAGTGCCCCTGAGTTTAATCCCAGGTACACCCTTCCCACCTGCCTCAAAAAAACTACTTCACAATGGGGTCATTAAGGATATCAGTGATTAGTTGCTTAATACAGTGCCTTGTACATAATACATATTCAGTGAATAATAGTCACCCTTAATACCATCACCAGCTCTCAAAATAGGAAACAGCTTCCACTAGCTCATATGGAGGATGTTAAAGAAGAGAGGTTAAATAGTGATATTTGTAACATGTGTCATTCCAAACTCACCAAAACCAGATGACATGTGGTGAGATGACAGAGCATGTGTATTCTCCAGCAAGCCTGGGTAATTCTTCATATCAGCGTTGGACTCTCCTCGGGCCAGTGCATTTGGAGTTACTGGCATGGAGGCTCCATTTGAGGACATTGTTATGGAAACTCCAGCAGAAGAGATGCTGCTGGTGCTGCGAGCCCCAGGGCTGGCAAAGCAGGACACTATAGAAGGACCATGTGTGTTGTCATCATTTCTGAGGTAGGTCTGGAATGAACGCCCAGAGAAGAGTGGTGGGATCGGTGGGCTATCTCTGAGGGATGACTCCTGATCCCTGATCAGGGACTCCTGCTCCATCTCCTGGGATTCCTCAGATTGAAAAGATGAGATCACAATGTTGCTGTCATCATTTTCTGGTCTGCGAACTGGTAAAGTCGGGCTGTAACTTTCAGGATAGGAGAATGAATTGAGACGTTCCTTCTTTTTTGCTTTTTGGACTTTAACTTTTTTAGAAAGCAGGTGATTATAATTTTTGCATGCAAATCCAAGTGGCTTCTGAAATGACACAAGCCCAACAATAATCAACAGTGAATAAAGAGAGAAATAAGGTCAGCATGGTGGCACATGCCTGTAATCCCAGTGACTCAGGAGACTGAGGCAGGAAGATCGCATAGAAGAGGCCAGACTCAGCAACTTAGCGAGGCCCTAAACAACTTAGCTAGACACTGTCTCCAAGAAAATAATAAAATGGACTGGCAACATAGCACCGTGGTACAGCACCCTTGGGTTCAATTCCCAGTATAAAAAAGAAAGAAAGAAAAAATAAGTAGTTAATATATTAATATTTATTTTACATAAAAACTATGTTACATTACTAAAATAAATGCTCTCTTGATTATATGATTAAATGTTATTCCTCTTCTGGCCTACATTTTAATTGTGTCTCACAGACTTTCTTCCTGTGCTGAGGATTGAACCCAGTGCCTCATTCATGCAAGGCAAGCACTCTACCACTGACCTACACCCTTAGCCCTTTAATTGTGTTTATATATTATGGGTACAAACATACAAATACTCACTACCATTCATTCATTTATTGAATTTACTGTCATGACACCAGCATTTTTCCTATAGAATTTCAGTTCCCCATCTGCTCCTACAAAGTACAGACCAGCCTTGCTAATCTTACACAGCTACTAATTCTCTAGCCCTTCTAACTGACTGGCAGCTTTACATTTATCACAGTTGTAGAATACTTACGCGATAGTTCCAAAAGGATTTTGTACGCAGACGTTGGATTTTTGCCAACTTTCCATCAATGACATCAAATTTCTTATCCAGGTTTTGGATAGCATCATATATAACCTATTAAAAGAAAATGTATTATAGTTCCTATTTCAAAAGCAAAGTAAAATGTGTGAAAATGCCATGAAGCCAAGTTCAAACTGCTAGGCACAGTGAAACACATGTCTGTTCTGACTTGAAGCCTGTTGGTGACACAGAACCCTCTTGGCTCAGTCAAGGAGCCTCGACTATTCCTACACTACTCAAAGCCACATGGACATTGAAAGGATGCTGCCATTTCACATCAAGGAAGGTGCTATTTTAGGAAAGAAGTGTTCAAATCTGCTAAAAAGCCAAAGAGTCACCTTCTATACAAGAACTAAAAGACAGCAAGCGTTCCACACTCTATACAGAGCCAAATCCAACAGATGTGACTTTTGGCTTCAAAGTATTTTAAAATCATGCAGTCAACAATTAACCTTATAAAACCACTGAGTACATGTCCCCATATGTGCCCATTAGTATGTGAATGATACAAATCTGAGATTCTTGAAATACACAGAAATTTCAGGCA